AAGTAGACACACGCCCTGGAGAGAACAATCATGGGAGAAGGAAGGGCTGCATATGCACAGGGAGACAGCTCAGGGTGCAGGAGAGTATGGAGGGATGGACACTGGGAAGAGGTAACTATGGGGAGGAAGTGGGAGGAGAGCTGTTGCACTGTAAACTGTGGTCAATGACATGAGACAAAGTATATGTGAACTGCTGTATGGAAAGTGAATTCGGTCTGTAAATCTTCACCCAAATCACAATATCATAAATAAACAAATAAATAAATAGAAATATTTCAGCTGCCCAAGAGGAAAAAAAAAAAGAAAGAAAGAAATGAGAATGGCCAAACTTCATCTCATGTACTTGATTATTAGAAGGGACCAGTCCCTGGAGAAGAATATTAAGCTGGGTAAAGTAGACGATCAATGAGAAAGGGGGGGACCCTCAATGGGATGGATTGACACAGTGGCTGCAGTGATGGGCTCAAACATAGCAAAGATTATGATAATGGCACAAGACCAATGAGTGTTTTTCTGTTGTACATAGGGTCACTATGAGTTGGAGCCAGGTTGATGGCACCTAACAAGAATAATATAAGCAGGAGAATATTCCATGCACAATGTTAACACATATCCTTAGACCTCTAAAAGATTATATATGTGCACCTGGAGAACATTAGTTATGTAACCAGTATGTGTGTATGTGTGTGTAGGAGGCATGCCCATGCCCTTTATAAGACATCCAAAGAACAAATTATGTGTGGGTTAGAGTAGCCAGATTTCTTCCTTTGACTTATTCCTATATTTGACATGTAAAATTGGTCTACATTTCTATAAATAAGACAGATCATTTCCAAGCATATTAGACTACAAATAGTCATCTATCTCTTGATGACTGTACTAGGTAATGCTTAAAGACTAATAATCAGTAGGAAAAGTGGGTGGGAGGGGAGTCTGCAGGTATTCTAGAACTTAGATTCCAGTTGACTACCTAGTTTCATAGGACAATAAACAATGAGGGGATATTTTGGGAGAAGTTTGTCTAATTATTAGCTACATCTCGATTATACAGATCTAATTGAATTATATAATTACTACAGTATCCCAATCTTAATTTATCAGCATTAATAGTGTCAACTCCAATTCAAGAGAAGTCAAAATCATCCCGAAAAGCTGGCAAGAAGAAAGCTTGTTTTATTTTTAAGGAACCAAGTGACTTTCATGATGAGCGAGAGAACTTGGAATCCAAATCCATGGCAAGAGATAAGATGAACGGTGATAACTTTATTCTGAATTAGTGTCAAGAATCCATCTCTCTCTCTCTCTCTCTCTCTCTCTCTCCCTCTCTGTTTTAGTTTTATTTGTCAGCAGGCCAATGACTGCTTATCTTTGAGAATTCAGAACAGGTACAATGTGGGTTTCTCCTAAGCTTCATTGGTTTTCCTTTATTGTCCCCTTACTAACTTGAGGCCATAGAATAAGAACCCTTTTAAGACCTGAGTTTCTAGATCTGGAGTCTCAGACTGTATCCCTTCCCTGCCACTCTGCCTCCTCACTCCTTGGGCTGTTGTGTTGTCATTCCAGGTAACAGGCACAACAGAAGAAATAAGAGGCAGTCAAGGTTGGCTTCAGAGAACATTTTAGGGGATTTGATGGGGGAGGAGTCCCTGAGTGGCACAAAGATTAACAAGCTCACCTGCAAACTGAAAGGTTGTAGGTTTGAGCTCACATAAAAGTTGCTCAGAAGAAAAATTAGCCATTGAAAACCCTATAGAACCCAGTTCTACTCTGACATAAGATGGATTCACCATGAGTTGTCATGGCAACTAGTATAGATGAGGAAGAGAGAGATTTGGGGTCAGTGGTCACATATGTGAGAAAATGAGATAAAGGATATGGGTATGGGTATTTTAGGGAGAGTTTCTGGACATCATGAATGGGCTGTCCTTTTGTTGTTATTGAAAGATGTGAATAAAGATTTAAAATGCCTTTCAAATATATTTGGCTAGTATAACAGTGTTTCTTTGAATCAGACTTCCTGCAAAGGCTAGTTTCAAGGTGGGGCCAAAATAATTATGCTTGTCGAGGGCTATACAAGCAATGCATATCTTTTGTATATCTATGTCTGTGTACTTGTGCAGGTATACTTGCAGGGTTAAAAGTCCTAGGGATAGAATTGCTTAACCAAAGGATATATGCATTTAAAAGCTAGAAAGATATTGCCGTGATTGTTCTTAAAAAGTGCAATTTACACTCACCAAAGTTCACCAAAGCCAATCCAACATTAGATATTATCCATCATTTTACACTTGCTGATACAACCATAATAAGGGTATTTACATTTCTTTAATGCTGATCATTAGCAAACTAAATGCTTATCAATGGGAAATGGCTGAGAATATAACAGAAAAAAAAATGCTATGGAATACTAGAAATACTAAAAATTGTATGATGAGGATCTAAGGTGACTTGGAAAGAGATACACAATGTATTATGATATGAAAAAAGGTAAGTTAGTGAACAATGTGCTTATCACAATTTCTTTTTTATAAAAGGACAAAAACTGTTTTATGTATGTAATATGTATACATTTCCAGAGTTTCTTCTAGGATTGGAAGAGTAGGGAAGATTTTCACATCTTAATATCAATCAATTTTATATTTTTAATATTATTTCGTTAACAAATAAAGAAAAGGCCGGGGGGCGGGGAGAATGAAGTATTATTGGATCCTAGAGCTCTAAGGGATAGTGCTTAAGGGATTTGACTGCTAACCAGAAGGCTGGTGGTTCAAACCCACCACCCATTCCTCAGAAGGAAGATTCGGCAATCTACTTCTGCAGAGATACCACCTTGGAAACCCAAAGAGGGGTCGCTATGAGTCAGAACCGACTGGACAGCAGTGAGAGTATGTTTATACACAAACATTCTTGGGATCAAATCTGTCTGATCAAAGGAGCTCTGGTGGCACAGTGGTTAATGCATTTGGCTGCTAACCATTTTGGTCAGTGGTTCACACCCACCAGCCACTCCGTGGGAGAAAGATGAGACAGTCGTCTTCCATAAAGATGTATAGCCTTGGAAACCCTATGGGGCTATTCTACTCTATCCTATAAGGTCGCTGTGAGTTGGAATTGACTGTATGGCAGTGAGTTTGGTGTGTTTGGTAGGTCAAGGATAATTACCTTTTTAACACATGCTGAATTTTATTTGTTTGCTATATATTGGTGTAATTTGGTATACAGACATTTAATTGCTAGGTCAGATGAAGCAAACTACTTTGATTTTCCATGGCTCACCTCTTGTAAAAGGGGGTAAGTTCTGATGGGGAGAATGTATCTGTGAGGTATTATAAAGATTGAAAAGGTCAAGAAGGAGAAACATAATAGGTTTGCCCCCTGTAAAGACATCTTTTTTAACTTAAGGTTCTTAGGCACCTTGGAGATCTTGTCCAAAATGTAATAAGATTGGTTTCTAAAAACATAGGCCAGAGCTCATACATCCCAGTGAGTATCTTCTCCTCATCCATAGTGTCTGGGCCTGCTGCTATTAAAAAATTGAAACTAGATATTATGAAATTTTATCTCATCCATAGACACATTTGTGAAATACTGTTCCTTAGGAAATGTAGGGAATCAACTTGATGGCAGCGGGTTAGGTTTCTTTCTTTTTTGGTTTAGGAAACTTATGAGGTTGGCAACAGAAATTTATTAAACTTTTGCCGAGCTCCCTTCCCTTCTAGCCTAAATGACTATAATAACATAGATACCTGGTAAGTTATTGTTCTCGAGCAGGTGATATACCATAATTCTTTCATTCTAACCATGATAATTATTCTATGAAAATGGCTTAAAATAAGCATCACATTCTTAAGAAGAAAAAAAGGTAAGTGTGTTAGTATAAATTCATAAAACCTATTTTGGGTTAATCATGAGGGAGATATGAAGGTCATTTCTATAGGGAAGTTCCAAAAATGTGTGAAGCATTGAGATGATACATGCTCCCTTCAAAACATGCATATCCAGAGGCTAATTCACACTTGTATATATATAAAAAAAACAGTGCTATCGAGTGGATTCTGTTTCATAGCTACCCTCTCTGCGTTTCCAGGCAGTAAATCTTTATGGAGTAGATTGCCCTGTCTTCCTTCTGCAGAGTGGCTGGTGGGTTTGAACCCCCAACATTCTGGTTAGCAGTCAAATGCCTTAGGCATTGTGCTACCAGAGCTCTTAAAAACCTGTTTTGTTAAATGTTATTACTTCTAGGCATAGTGGGTGTTTGCTCACAACTAGCATGCCTGTTGGGCAGCAAAGACTTGTTTGCATAGTGTTAGAATAGCTTTAACTTTCATGCAGCTACTCTTTTTCATAGAAGTCTGACTTGTTTTTGTCTCCTTTTGCAAAAACAGATGATGTGGGAAAAGTACGAAAACAAGGACAACTGGAAACTCCTGTAGAATCACTCTCTTGCCCCCAAAAAAGAGACTGGCATATCCCCATGTCACCTGACCAGTTCCTCCTGACTGTCAATGCCCTGCATCAGGCCCACAGTTCAGAGGCATTTGCTTATCCCCAAAGACCCCAAACCCAAGTCCTTGATGTTTGGGGACCTTTGATTTCCCACCCGAGGAAGGTCCTGAGTTTCAAAGGAAAATCACTACAGCATGCAGTTGAGAGGTTGAGGTTCAGCAACCCCACCACAGAAGTGAAACGGACAACCATTCCTCTTGAAATCCAGAAACTACAGCCCAACCTGAAGAATTCTTTGCATAGTCCCAGAATCCAGTCCACCATACCCCAGCCTATGCTTATCCGCTCCAGGCTCTCTGGCAGCTTCAAAGGTGAAGACCAAGTGGCCAATTCTCTTGAAAAGGTAGTGCACAGCACTGGCCGCCTGACCAGCACAGATGTCATTAGACCGAACCGAATGGTTGCTCCGATAGTACACACAACAACCCTGACTTTCAAGAAAGAACGGCCTCACTTCTACACAGCCCTCAATCCTTGTAGAATGAACACGGGGTTCACGTTGTTGACTGTGAAAGAGGAGAAAGAATACGCGGAAGCCAAGGTGAAGGAATACCAGGCCAGTGAGTCCATTGGGGTAGTAGATCCAAAAAAAGTCAGCAAAATTGCCTGGCTCAGGAAGATCAAAGGTCTGCCTATAGATAATTTCATGAAACAAGGGAAAATAGCAGCCCCTGAACTAGGACAAAACACATTTATCTGAACCAGGCTTGGAAAACTACAATGTCTTACAATAAACAGAAAACCAAGTGGATGGTGGGGTTTGACCTTCTATTTTGTTTGGACTGTTCCTTGGAAATTATTGTGAGAACTCCTGATTATCTTCCTAAGGGCCTAAGAATTGACATTATCAAAGTGAGAAAACAGAGGGAGGCTGGGAGAGATTGGGATCTGATCTCCCATTGAAAACCATTCAATGAGACTTTGTTGTTGTTGTTGTTATGTGCTGTCGAGTCGGACCCGATTCATAGCAACCTCTCCTTGGGTTTCCCAGGCAGTATCACTACAGAAGTAGATTGATTGCTCCATCTTCCTTCCAAGGAGTGGCTGGTGGGGTTGAACCGCCAACCTTCTGGTTGGAAGTCAAGTGCTTTAGGCACTACGCTACCAGAGCTCCCCAATGAGACTTAGGGAAGCCAGATTTCAACTAGGGATTGAGTGGGGAGGGAGATAATCATTAGAAATTAATTACTTCTCATTAGTACCAATTTAGTGCTTTCATTCTGTTGCAGCAAATAAAGTGATAGACTTATGTAAGAATTATGCATTGGACAAACCCACTGCCAATGAGTCGATTCCAACTCATAGTGACCCGGTAGGACAGAGTACAACTGCCCAATAGGGTTTTCAAGGTCGTAAATCTTCATAGAAGCAGACTGCTTCATCTTTCTCCTGTGGTATGGCTGATGGGTTTGAACTACTGACCTTTTGGTTAGCAGCCAAATGTTTTAACCTCTATGCCACCAGAAATCCTTTTATGCATTGGAGTTGCCTAGTATTTTTGCATGGAATTTTGATGAAGCTTGGTGTGTTAACAATCTTAAAGGAGAGAGGTCCTCAATGGATTTTACCTATTGCATTGAGACAGTTTTCTGTCTTCTTAATGCTAAATCCTATGTCATCATCTTTACAAAAAGGGCAAACAGTGACGGCATTGAGGTTCCGACTTAAATCTTTAGAGGAGCAGTGCCTGGGACCAAGCAGGTAGTTTAGAAGAGTGAAGCCTGCTATCGGGGCTATGGCCCACTGGAGAGCTCATACCCCATCAAAGGGAAGATAGCTCTTACTCAGAGGCTTAGCATTGTCAGGTCTTTTTCTTCTTCAAGCAAAGCCAAAAACCCAGATTTTTTTTTTTAAAAGGATGATAATGAATTAAAATATAATGCAAATAAAAAACAAAAATATATTAAAAACACAAAAAAAGAAAATCAAAACCACAACACCGGTTGCTTAGACCACAGAAGTCATGGCATTGTTAGACTAGATTCACAGCCATCTATTTGCAACCTCAGTTCTTCCCAAGTGCAAGGAATGCAATGGCCTTGGCAAGCCCTCTCCTTGGAGAAACATATCCTTTCTCCCGCCGCCCCCCCAATTCATTCTGAAGATATTAGATTTAAAACAGCACTGATAAAAAGCCATGTAAAAGTGTGATTTTAATGAAAATAATTCCTTTAATTAATTAAATCTGTTAACGCGCTTAATTTCATGAGTTCCATTATTCCATGGTTCAAACAGAACTTTGACGTGGGCTGGGCAAATAGAATATTGTGTTGTTGTTGTTAGGTGCCATGGAGTCAGCCCTGACTCATAGTGACCCCTCCTTTGGTTTCTGAGGCACTCGAGGGCACATAACAACAACAACATCACTATGGAAGTAGATTGCCCAACTTCCTTTCGAGGAGCAGCTGGTGGGTTTGAACCTCCAGCCTTCTGGTTAGCAGTCAAGTGCAGACAATTTTTAAAAAGTTCTTCTAAAACTTATATTAAAAAACCCCAAAACTAAACTCACTGCAGTTCAGTTGTTTCCAACTCATAGCGACCCCTCAAGTTTCTGAGGCGGTATCACTGCAGAATTAGATGGCCAACCTTCCTTCCCACCACCCTTTTGGTTAGCAGGCAAATGCTTCAGACACTACGCCACCAGAGCTCCCTCTAAAACTTACACTGCAAAAGTAATATTGTGGAGTAATATAGATCATTACAAAACAGTCCAACAAAAGGAATTTATGAAATAATAGCAAATTAAGAGTTCTCCATCAAAACAAAAAGCTCACCCCAGCGAAAACTGCCAGCTTTCGCGTTCTGCGCGCACCTCCCACGCCTTCCTCAGCCCGGGCCCCCTCTCCCCTAGCTCTCCCAGCCCCCCGCCGCCCCGCCCTCAGAGCTCCCCCGACCCCTCCCCCGCGCTCCGCCCCCGCGCAAAGTTGCCCCACCAACGACAGGCCTCTAAGCGGAAGCAGGGAAGTGAAGCGGCTGGTACTTAACCTTCTTCTGACCTGTGCGGAGGAGTTCCACCGCCGGAACTTGGCCGCGAATGCGCTGACGTGGCTGCCCGGAAGTGGGGTTGGCGCAAGGTTGCCATGTTGCAGCAGGTGAGGGGCTGTGGTGCCGGGAGAGGGCGACGGAGCGTGCGGGGTCCGGTCGGCAGGGTTCTTTGAACGCGAATCGTGGTCTTGGGGTTAGGCTCCGCGACGTAGCCCGCTGCCTGAGCTCGCGGAGGCGCGGCCTGGGTAGGGGGAGGGCTCGAGGAGGACTATGGTCAGTTGTCCGGTGGGGGCAAGGAGCATTCTGAGGCCTCGCGCGCCAGACAATTGTAGCTAGTGAAAGAGAGCGGGACCTGTGTAGGGGATGACCCGGGCAGAGCTAAGGAGGGATAGCTTTTGACGGAGAGCCATAGCGTCTGGAGAAACGCACTGTAAATTGTAAACAAACGCGGAGCGATGGATCCCATCCGGTACTTCCTGCAGAAACGCTTTCGTGGTTGAAGTTGCGGGTCTTTCGTTAGTTCTCCCATTCGCGGGTGGGTGAAGTGAGGGGAAGAGGTCTGCGGAACACTTACGAAGCCTTCGCCTGGCCCTGAGGGCTGCGTGGCGAGCCTTGCATACACGTTTTCCATTACCAGGCGGAAAGTGATTACGATTTACGGTCTATTTCTATGATTACATTTGTGTCCTTAAAGTGAATTATAGTTCGCATATTTACGGCCGGAGATTAGTGAGCGGCATTTACCAGTTTGGGTCTTAAAATTTTTTTCTGATGGTAGTGCACTTTCTGTTAGATGATCTCCAGTCTTTTTTACTGTGATTCACTCCTCTACACCATTGGATACAATTGTGAACTATATAGACGCGTTTTTTTGTTTTTTTTTTTTAACCCTGAATTGTGGGAGGTGGGGAGAGAAAATAAAACATGAATCAGAACATGTCAGTCCTCTGCTTTTCCACCCACTGCCATCCAGTCGATTCCGATCTATGCGATAGGACAGAATAGAATTGCCTTATAGGTTTACAAGGCTGTAAATCTTTTTCAGAAGCAGACTGCCTCATTTTTTCTCAGACAGCTGACCTTTTTGGTTAGTACCACCAGAGCGCTTTAGTCTTCTATTCAGAACCCTCTAATGGTTTTTCCCACCGAAATTTCTTTAAAAGAAGCTTTTTGCTATTGTGAATTGTTTTGTGATGAGTATGGGTGTACCTCTGTGTTACAGTGCTTGTTTCTCTAGGTTGTATACCTAGTAGTAGGATTGCTAGATCATATGGAATTTTTGTTTCCAGCTTTTTAAGGCAACACTGTACTCTTTACAGAGTGGTTACAGCAGTGTATGAAGGTTCCAGTCTCTCTACACCCTCACCAGCATTTGATCTCTGTTTTGTTTTTTTTTTAAAACTTTGCTGTTGGTGCTGACTTGGTGATATCTCATTGTTTTGATTTGCATCTCTCTAATGGCAAATGAAGGAGCTCTGGTAGCATAGTGCCTAAGGCACTTGACTGCTCACCAGAAGGCTGGCGGTTCAAACCCACCAGCCACTCCTTCAAGGAAGGTTGGGCAATCCTACCTCCGTAGTGATACTGCCTCGGAAACCCAAGGAGGGGTCGCTATGAGTCAGGACCGACTCGACGGCAACCAACAACAACAACAACAATGGCAAATGAAGGAGCCCTGGTGGCACAGTGCTTGAGGCGTGTTTGCCTGCTAACCCGAAAGGTTGGTGGTTGAAAGACACCAGCCACTTCGCAGAAGATACTGCCTCGGAAACCCAGCAGGGGTTGCTATGAGTCGGAATCAACTCGATGGCAGTGGATTTGGTTTTGGTTTAATGGCTAATGATCTTGAGCATTTCTTCATGTGTTTGCTAGCTGCCTGAATGCGTTCTTTGGTGAAGTGTCTGTTCATGCCTCTGCCGATTTTTAAGTTGGTTTGTCATTTTTGTTGTTAAATTGCAAATTTTGTATAAATTTTAGAGATTAGCCCCTTGTCCAATACGTTGTTGGCAAAATTTTTTCTCAGTCTCTGGGTTCACTTTTTACTTTTTTTGGTGAAGTTTTTTGATGCACATAAGCACATTTTTGTTGTTGTTGTTGTTTTGTGCCGTGAAGTTGGGCCGACTCACAGCGACCCCTCCTTGGGTTTCCGAGGCAGTATCACTACGGAAGTAGATTGCCCCATCTTCCTTCCGAGGAGTGGCTGGTGGGTTTGAACCACCAGCCTTCTGGTTAGCAGTCAAGTGCTCACAGAACATACTGTGGGCATTAAATGACACATACCTATAAATGAAAAATGCTTTACATAGGACATAACCATGCAAAGTTTTGTCAAAATAAAAGATGACTTAAGAAAGAAGCAGACTATCTACCCTGCTTTCTTCCTAAGTCCCATTATTATTTGACTTGGTCAGGGAAAACATGACTCTCAACACCTCACTAAAAAGCAAACCAAACTCATTGCCATAGAGTTGATTCTAACTCACAGTGACCCCGGCTGGCTACAGAGCTCCTAAGTACCTTTTTAGGTGGCCCCAATCGTCTATTTTGTCTTCTGGTGTTTGTGTGTTTTTGGTTATATCTGATAGTGTATTTATGACTTGAATTAGGACCTCTAAGTTTGTCTCTTTCTTTTTTTTTTTGATTATCTTTATGGTTTTAGGTTTTACCTTCAGGTCTTTTAATTCAACTTGGGGATGAAGGCTTTTAAAAAACATTTTTTGACCAATAAGTGATACTCAAAGAAGTTCATATGATGATTAGAAAGATCCAGTAGAAAGATTTAAAAATACAAGAAAGAGTAAATAATGGGAAAATTGATGTAACAAGTCCTTGAGAAGCCAGCAAAAAACGGGATCCTAAGCACAAGTAGTTGATTTAGCCTTGAATTAGAAGAGAAAGTTGTGAGAGCAGTCATGAAAGTAAGGCTGCAGCCAGATAATTTTGTAATCCTGATAGTCTCAGCTTTCTCTTCCTTGAGAGGCAGAAGCCCAGTGTAGGTATTAAGTTTGCATGAGCCTCATCTCCACCCTGAGTGGTTTTCTCTTAGGGTTTAGCTCCTCAGGGGTGGGGTTGGAGATAGCTGCTACTTGGATTACCCTGTAGGGTTTTTGCTGGATGATGGCAGCAGGATAGAACTGGAAGACCACAGTGCATATTCTTTCCTTAGGTCATGAATTCCTAATAGCTGTGACCATATCTCGATCTTATCTTCCATTTTGACTTACCTGCTGCCTTGCAGGTAGTTGGCATGGAAATACTGGCTTTCATTTTGTTTCATGAATATTTAAATCTCCTATTTTAGGACAGTAATGATGACACTGAAGATGTTTCACTGTTTGATGCTGAAGAGGAGACAACTAATAGACCAAAAAAATCCAAAATCAGGTATGTAGATGAGTTAAAAAACAATTGTTTTGTTAATGTACAGTGCTGTTTTGTCCATAGATTGATGATACATGGAATTGAAAGTAGATTTTATTATAATGTGCATGTGAATATTGTACATTGCTAGTTATCTTTAGCCTGAAACACAGATGACATTTCAGATTCTCTTTGAAATAAAGAGAGGCTATATAAATATATATCTTTTATATATGAAAGCCTCACGGAGCACAGGTCTACTCGGAAACACACAGAGTCACCGTGCATTGGAATCTACTTGATGGCAACTGGTTTTGTTTTTGGCTTATGGAATTTTACTTTATACTGATTTTTCATATCAGTCAGTCCTGTTATTTGAAATGCCTACTCTGTGTCTAGTTTTGTGCTAGCTACTCTTTACCAAGAATAGTAGCACTATTTCTTTAATTTTTGTAGTTATGTTACATTTTGATTTACTATACTAGCTTTAGAATTGCATCTTTTGTGTAAACTGATATGAAAATTTCAAGCCAAACATACCAAATGCTTTCTATTCCCAATTTAGTTCTCTCTAAAAAAAATCATTTAATAAAATAAAATTCTTTGACAGTAATTACTATCCTTGACAGTAATTAAGCTAAGAGAAAGAAGCCTGTCACAAAAGGCCACATATTATATGATTGCATTTTTATGAATTGATTGTGGTTGATGATTGCACAATTCTGTGAATACACTAAAAGCCATTGAATTGTACAATTTAAATTGGCAAATTGTGTGATATATGAATTATATCTCAATAAAATTGTTTTTTGAAAGAACACACTAAACTTTCCACCTGGCAGTGACTGTATAGTTTCTGAGGATGTAAGAGTTCTTTTGATAGAATGTTTGGACATGTGAAATAGGATGTAAATCCTGAGTGTAGTTCCTTACTCCTCCAAATTTGGTAAAGTTTTCCTTATATAGTTTGTGAAAGCTATATTCAGTGAAGGAGCTCTGATAGCATAGTGGATAAGGCATTTGATGGCTAACCAGAACGTCAGCAGTTCAAACCCACCAGCTGCTCTGCGGATGGAAGATGGGGCAATCTATTCACGTTAAGATTTATAGCCTTGGAACGCCAGTGGGGGTCACTGTGAGTTAGAATCGACTCTATGGCAATGAGTTTGGTTTGCTTTTTAGTGAGGTGTTGAGAGTCATGTTTTCCCTGACCAAGTCAAATAATAATGGGACTTAGGAAGAAAGCAGGGTAGATAGTCTGCTTCTTTCTTAAGTCATCTTTTATTTTGACAAAACTTTGCATGGTTATGTCCTATGTAAAGCATTTTTCATTTATAGGTATGTGTCATTTAATGCCCACAGTATGTTCTGTGAGATAGGACCTTACATGATTTGGATATTATATATTAAATATTTGGATATTATATATTAAAGCCTTATGGGAGCCTGCTTCGGGTCATTGCTGCTACTGCCACTGCTGGAGCTGCTGGCAGAGGCCAGAAGAACAGGTACCAGCGGCTGTGGCATCTGAGAGGGCAGAGGTGGGAAAGAGGAAGTGGGTGGGGAGGTAGCGGAGCTTGCCCAGCCCTGCCCATTGTTCTGCCCATCTGAGTAGCAAGAGCAGCCCAGGCCTCACAGTCACTATTTGGCTGCTAAACAAAGCCTGAGAACCTGCACCCAGAGCCATGTCCTCTGCCTTACCTGCTTATATCCCACCCATGGTCCAGTGCTGCAAGAATCTGGGTTTGGCATCTCTAAAACCATTTTGGGGAAATAATAATAAAAGGAGAGCTACTGTACGTTTAAAAAAGAAAAGACCTTATGGGATCGTGGATATATATATGGTTGGGCATTGTCCAAATGGATGTTAAGTGATGCATACCTGTACATCTATTAGTGCCTGTAGTAAAATGTAATTGCATTATCTGTTGTTATGTTTTGATTTTCAGACACCCAGTGGCATCATTTTTCCATTTATTCTTTCGAGTCAGTGCCATTATAGTCTATCTTCTCTGTGAATTGTTCAGCAGCAGCTTTATTGCCTGTATGGTGACAATTATCTTGTTGTTGTCATGTGACTTTTGGGCAGTGAAGGTATGTTTAATTTTATTTTAAAATTACATTTAATATGATGAGATTGAATAATACATGAAAAGTGAAAAATATGACACTTAAGCGGTTTAGAGTAGTGTTAATTTATCCTTTTGTTATTTCAGGTCTCATGTATTAAAAGTATTATGTATGCTAGATTGCTTGTAGGTAATTATACTACTGAGTTGTCTGTGCCATTTATCAATCTATACTATTTTCAAATATCAGTTAAAAAAATGTGACTAGCTGCCATAGACTCTTTGTATTGCTTTTAGTCTACACTATTGGTTTTGCTTCAGGTTTACCTTCAAGTGTGGGCTGTATGATATCTAGATAATGCTTCAGGTATAGTTTGTCCACGAATACCTAAGGAGTGCCTACCATCAAAGGCTTTTGATGAGTGCTTTAGGGCAGAGGACATTTGGGATTGTCTGAAGACCTTTTCGTTGTCCCAACTAGGGGGAGGTAGATGCTACTGGCATCTAATGGGTAGAGACCAGGTGCTGGCTGCTACTATCCTACAGTGCACAGGACAGTCCCCCCAAAACAAAAAATTATCCAGCTCAACATATCATTAATACCAGAGCTGAGAAACCCAGCTCTGGGGGATGGAGTGAAAGAAGTGGTTTTAAACTCAAAAGGCAATAAATGGTAAGTGGAGTTAGAGAGGAAGGGTAACTATAATAAAATATTAGGTATATAATCCAGATGGTAGGTATATGAATGTTAATTGTAAGATTTAACTTTTCTGTGTGTGTGAAAAATTTTCTTTGTTAAAATGCAGGGGGGAAGAAACCAAAGCCAACAGAAAAACTTTCAAAACATAAAGACATGTATACTGATTCTAGCATCACTGGATGGCACAAATGTTTAACTGCTCAGCTGCAAACAAAAGGTCGGCTGGTTGTGTATACCCAAAGGTGCCTTGGAAGAAAGGCCTGGTGTTCTTCTGTAAAATCAGCCATTAAAATCCTTATGGAGCATAGTTCTGTGACACACATGGGGTTGCCATGAGTCAGAACAGACTTAGCAGCAATGGTTTCTTTTTTTAAAATACTGATTCCAAGACCACTAAGATACTACAAGTCTACTCACACACACCAACCCGGCCATTTTTAGATCTTTTAATTCTTAGAGCTGTCATAAATCACTGGCTTCATGGTGGTCACTTTCCATAGGCCTTATAATGTAGAGAATTGTGATGTGTCTTTATGGGAGATTTCAGAGGTCTGTTTTCTTTAGGTTTCTGTATTGCACATTCTTCTTTGAATTTCTTCAGATTTATATTCTTAAGTATTTATTCTGGTCATAGATTTGCCTTTCAATGAATGTTCCTTTTTTTTTTTTTGTTTTCCCCCAAATGCAATTTTCATTCAGCCAAACAGAACATGACCTTCAACCAGCTTTTGTAATCCCTTTGCTGTCACAACCCTTTTGGGTTTACCAAAAAACCTGATGCTGTCAAGTTGATTCCAACTCATGATGATGCCATGTGTTATAGACTAGAATTGTCCCAATAGAGTTTTTTTTGGCTCTAATCTTTATGGAAACAAATTGCCAGCCTTTCTTCTGTGGTACCATTGGATGGGTTCAAACCTCCAACCTTTAGTAGTCAAGTGCAAACTCAGAGACTTCACTTTTGGGCTTTATTGTTGTTGTTATGTGCCGTCAAGTTGGACTCAACTCATAGCGACCCCTCCTTGGGTTTCCAAGGCAGTATCACTACAGAAGTAGATTGCCCAACCTTCCCTCCAAGGAGTGGCTGGTGGGTTTGAACCACCAGCCTTCTGGTTAGTAGTCAAGTGCCTTAGGTACTATGCTACCAGAACTTTTGAGTTTAGGATTCAAAAAACTGTGCCCTCAAAGTTTATTTTTTGATATATATATTTTTTTTCTTAAGACAAACATTTAAAAAGTGTCATCTATTTACTGTTGGTAAAAATTGCTTACGGATATAATCTGTCCAACTGAGATATGAAGCAAACATTAAGAAATCAAGAGTGGGGAAATTATTAAAATGGTCTTGGAAACAAGGTAGAGCAGGATTCTGAAACCAGTTACAGTAGAAATGTAATTATTAAAATCCAAGTGCAGTTCTCAAAAGGAAAGATGATTATTTTTTTTATAAAAAGTAATCTATTTCTAAACCTCCAGGGGACATTAATAAAAACCAAGAAAAGGTGGAGAAGGGGAGGTGTGTTAGACTGGGTTCTCTAGAGAAACAAAACCAGTAAAGCTTATATATATGTATATATAGAGAAATTTATCTTAGGAAAATGGCTTACACACTTATAGAAGCTGACAAGTCCAAAGTTCCTGGATTAAACGTCAAGGTGGAGGCTTTTCCCGACTCTTGCAGCTGCAGGGGCTGAGGAGCTCAGGCTGGCAGGCAGTACTCCGGCTGTTGACTCCAGCAAATGACAAATCCAAGACCTCCAGGCCAAATGGTGGATTCTTCACTCACAGACAGTTGTAGGCAGCACAACAGAATCCCGATCCACAGAAGAATGTCTCTTTTCCCAGGATGTCCATAGATACACTGGAAGCAGTCCACACCCTAGGGAAACTCCCTTTCAACAAATTGGCTGCTCAAAACATAATCATCTGATCCCATCATGGGAATAACCACATCACAACAGCTTAAACCACACAGAATTGTGGTCCAGCCAAGTTGACACAGAGCTCCAGCTATCACAGGAGGATTTTTCTTTTTTTTTGGTTCAAGTATGTTTAAATACTGTATTTTTATATATGGTTTTCATTTCATTCCTTATTCTGGCAAATAGAGTTACAAATGTTAAATAATCGTTTTGAAAATTAAATGGTAACAGCTAGTCAAATTTAAGATGAGTTGTGTATCTTCCTCAACATTGGAGAAGATAGGAGCAACTAAAATATATTCATGTAGCAAAAGAAAGAAAACAAAGCAAGTATCAACAAAGCTTCCATATCACAAAACGTAGTACCAGATGTCAGAAGTATTAAAAAAAAATAGTTATAACAGTAAATAGAATTGACTGACCTCCTTTTTAAAGTAAGATTTCTAAGATTAGGTAAAAAATCAAAATCCAGCCAAAAAGAGAGCTAACAAGAATAGTGATGTTAGGAAGAATCAAGAAGGCAAACATAACATCGTACCAATTCACACAAAATGGTGGTAGGTGTTTTCATAACAGGTATGGGGCGACATCCTTTACAATAGGGAGAGAGAAGGATCAATAGCAACAGCCCAAAGCTGATTCCTGTAAGGCAGAAGTCAGACATGCTGCTACCCTTTAACCTTTTTGCCAATTCTCACACTAACTGCCCTTCCCATGGTATTCTCTACATCTTTGCTGGGTTCAGTAATTTGTTGAGTGGTCACACAGAACTCACAGACAATACTCATGATTGTCAGGTTACAATTCAGATTCAGGAATGCTCAGGATACAATTCTTCAATCAGGGCAGCCTCCTCTTGGCCTGGCCTGTGCTCTGCTCAGGCCATTGTCACAAAGGTCTTTTGGCTCTCCCTATAGGTGCTCTGGGAGCTCTGGTAGCATAGTGCCTAAGGCACTTGACTGCTAACCAGAAGGCTGACGATTCAAACCCACCAGTCCCTCCTCAGAAGGAAAGTTGGGCAATCCACTTCTGTAGTGATACTGCCTTGGAAACTCAAGGAGGGGTCCCTATGAGTCAAATTAGACTTGATGGCAGTGGGTATAGGTGCACCTAGGTGTACCCCTCTCTACAAGTAAGACTTTTGCCCAAAGGTACTCAGCTTTCTCACTCTGGGTTGGTAAGCCCACTGCTCTATCTTGTGCTGGTGTCTGGGTTCTGCTGCTGCTGCTGCCATCTCTGCTGTTGTCTCTGTGCAGGGTTCTCGGGTCCAAGGATACACTCTGTTCCTGGATTCTCTCTCTTTTTATTTTTTCATATTGTGATTTGGCTGAAAGTTTACGAGCAAATTTACTTTCCATACAGCAATTCACATACACTTTGTCTCATGACATTGACTACAGTTTACCCCAATGCAACAGCTCTCCTCCCACTTACTTCTGATAGTTACCTCTTCCCTGTGTCCATCCCTCCGTGTACTCCTGCCCCTGAGCTATCTCCCTGTGCATAAACAGCCCCTCTTTGCCCCATGATTGTTCTCTTCAAGGAGTGTATCTACCTCAGGTAAATGTTCACCTCATATGCCTGTCTTTTGTTTGGCTGGAAGCCACAGGTGTGGGTTCAGTTGTAGACCTGAAGGGCATCTAGGAGTCATAGTCTCAGTGGTTCCACCAGTCTCTGTCACATCATTGGGTCCTCTTTCTTAATGGCAGTGAAATTCACCCTTCCTGCCTTTGGGAGGACTGATTTTAAGCCTAGTAGAGGGACAAAACTGACCAACCCCCATATTAGAGTTCTGTATACTTTATGTACACTTTATTTCCAGGATCCCACACCCACAAAGGTGCCATATACCTTACTTACATTACAAACAAGCTATCCACCCCCCTTAGTTGGCCACAAAGCACCTCTCATTTACATAGTTCCACCCAGTGATCCGGTGGGAGCCATAAAGAGGATGGCTAGAACAGGTATACTAAGTAATTCACCATACCACAGTGTTTTAATATCAGATAAAATGGAAATCAGGATAAGAAATCATTAAATGGAACCAAAAAAAAAGCACCATTGTACGTTCATAAAGGTACAAATACAGTGAGAATCATTTATAGATTAACATTGTATTGACCTATGTATAGCAAAAAACTATTAGAAATACTAGGAAAAGATTAAAGAATAATCATGATAGGAGTCTTTAACAAACACCTGTGTGACAGATCAAAGTGGCAGAAAAAAAAGAAGGTCATGAATGGATTTGAATGAAGAAATTAATAAGGTCAATTTAATAACAGTATTTGGAGATTTATACCATACAGAGATAATACTTACTTGTTAATATTTTTAGCACTTTAAAAAAATAGATTATATAGCACTATGAAGAAAGTCCAAGTAAATTGCCCAAAGCAGCTACATTTTCTCCTCTAATACAACAAAAATATTCATTAGTTAACAAATGACGTCAAAAATTATCCAGCCACTGGAAATATTTTAAAAAGCCAACCTTCTAAATATCTTAGTTTAAAATAGAAACAAAATTGTAAATATAGATTATTTAGACCTTAAGGATAAAGAGCATTACAAACTTTTAAAATGTGCCAGAAATGGATTTCCCTCCCCCAAAGGAAAGGAAAAGGAAGCTTGTTTCCATTTGAATTGATGTATTTGATAAACCGTTGACAGCGAACTTGTTTCTTCATTTTTTTTTTTAACCCGAAAGAGCAACTAATTTACTAGGTACCTTTCTCCAGTGCTATCTCCTGAGAGAGATTTTTGGCATCAGAATGTCCTACTCTTACAATACTTTCTGGTATCCTTCCTCTTTCCCATAGACACACACTCCTAGAATTCCTATTCCCAATTCCCCATTCTAAAATAAAACGATTCTCCTTAAAAAGAGGCAAAACCGTGGACTAAATGCTTTTATTATTAGAAAAGAAAGAATGAAAATAATAAACATCCAAAGTTATAAAAGCAAACAAACAAAAACAATAAGCTTGACAAAAATTAGGAAAATAAACTAATAAAGATAAAAGCAGTAAGTAAAGCATTAGAAAAATGGAGGAGTTTGAACATAAATAAGAGTAGTTTGTTTGGAAAATCCTAATAAAATAGACATCTGGCTGTTCTTGATCTTCTTTGCCAGCTTTTCTCTTTTACTTCATCTTTAAATGTTGGCATTTTTTCCTTATAAATAAAATCATTGTTTTTCATTTAATCACCAACTGTTGTTCCCACGATTTACAGTGACCCTGTAGGACAGAGTAGAACTGCTCCCTAGGGTTTCCAAGGCTCTAAGTCTTTATGGACTGCCACATCTTTCTCCTATGGAATGCCTGGTAGATTTGAACTACTGACCTTTTGGTTTGCACCTGAGTGTTTTGACCACTGCACCACTGGGGCTCCTTTATCAAGTGCCATGAATCCGTGCATTTTACTTCTTTAGATCTGCCTACTTTTCTACCTAGAATGGTCTTCCTGTTCCCACATGGCCTTGTTACAGGGATTCCTAACCTTTATTGTGCTATGTATCCATTTGAGAGTCTCATGAAGCTATCAATAAGATTTTTAAATACATAAAATAAATAGGATTACAAAGAAAATGACTTATATTGAAATCTAATTATAAAAATACTTTAAAAGACAAAGTTCTATTATAATAGATACTTTTTTATTAATGCATTAAATAGTATGACAGCAGAAAGTCTACACTTTAAAAGTGGTGATGAGATAAACAGTATTTTTAGGTATTTGCAATAAATATTAGTGACAAAGGCAAAGGTTCTGTTAACTCTGAACTTTAGATAGAAGTTAGTGAAAATAAAGATAAAATTTTTTCCTATTAAAGTTCACAGAAGCTCCAAATCTACACATGGATGCCCATTATTGATTCCTACTCATCTTTTGGATTTCATTCCAAATGTTGGTTTCTCGATATGTCATTCTTTGACTCCCAGCTTTGGTCAGATCTTCACTCTTGAAACCTTATACTTTTACCTCACAGCACTTAGCACATTTGGTGATGGTACATTTGTGTACTGATTGATCACCTCTCTTCCCCGCAGCACTTGAAGCTTCATGAGGACAAGGATGGTATCTCACCATTTTATTACCAGCATGTCAAAGGGGCAAGGAGGCCACATCTTCTGACCTCCCCTAACCCCACAGGAAGAAGACAGAATCACCATCAGTAGCCCAAGGCCTATTCCTGAGAGGCCAGACCTGTTTGCTCCCTCTAGCCCTTTCACCAACCCAGACCCAACCGTTCCTCCTGCAGCACTCACCACCTTTCTGCTGGGTTCGATAATTCACTGGAGTGGCCACACAGAACTCAACAGATTATGGGGTTTATTAGGGAAGCACCAGGCTAAATTCAAGTTCAGGAAAAATGCTCAGTCTCTCTCAGCCCACTGTCTCTCAGCCAACAGTCTCCCTCCCAGCAGCCCGTGTCTCTTGGTGTCTCTCTCAGCAATACATGTCTCTTTCCCAGCAGCATGTGTCTCTTAGGAGCATGTGTCTCAGCAGCATGTCCTTCCTCAGCCAGCGGTCAAAGAGACTTCTGCCTCTAGGAGGCCTCCTTTTGAGCCTGGCAGAGTGGCCAGACTAGCCAGTCATAACATCAGAATTCTAAACACTGGAGAGAGGACGAGCCTCCCAGAACATTGCTTTGTGCCACTCCCGACAGAGATAACCCAGGTGGATAACTTTTATAATCAAGAGCTCCTCGATTACTCACAGCAAATTCCACCACAGAGTTTACAAAGACTTACGGCTGGAAAAGCCATATCAGGTAATTTACTGTACTGCACAGCACCTGGCATGGTGTCAGCACATAGTAGTTGCTCAGTAAATATTTGTTAAACAAATAAATGAAACCATAGGAAAGCTGTGAAAATAATTTATTAGATCAGTAAACAAGAAAAGAGCTTGGCACATTTGAGGTACTGAATGAAGGCAGTCCTATAACCATTTTTAGGGATAGACAGTTTTGTGCAGCTACAGTCAGGATAGTAGCCAAAAAAAACAAGGGGCTGAGGAGCAAATTAGAGAATTGAAAGGAGGATAATTGTTCAAGAGGGAAGAGAAGGGCAGTGCTTTATGGATGGATTTAACTGTAAACTCTGTTACCTCCAATACTGCTGATCCTGCTGTTGCCACTTTATTTAATCTTTTGTCTAGACTTGGCATATCCTTGTTCATTGGACATTCTGGAGGTAAAGCTGAATTTTTTTTGTTTGTGAAATGTTGTACTAAGATAGGAACTATCTAGTATGGTAGACCTTTAAATAATGCTTTTAAAACAAGTGTATATATATTCATCTTTACCAGAATGTCACAGGTAGACTAATGGTTGGCCTGCGTTGGTGGAATCATATTGATGAAGATGGGAAGAGCCATTGGGTATTTGAGTCCAGGAAGGTAAACTGCCTCACACACCCCCCCCCCCTTTTTAAGCAGTGTTGTTTCAATATTTAATGATAAAGTATTGAAGTTTAGTTAAAACACTACTCCGAATCACTGGAATGTCAGTCCTAAACCAGGTGGCTTCTGAAACTTAGATTTTTCTGTCTAGTTCTGGCTGAAAACAAGACATGTTTATGACTGGATCCTCTGAGAAGTAAACTTTGGGTCAGAGTTTATGCAGTGTGCTCAGCTGATTGCTTTGTACTAACTGTTGTATTGCCTATACCTGCAGGGATTCTTCTATGTTCAGCTGATAAACTGCTTCTAATTCCTACTATGTCCTTGCTCTCATAGCCCATTTTCACTTCTCTCAGGAAGAAAAAGAAGATTGCCACTGTATAGAACATTGGAATTGCTTAAAAGCGATCTATTCCTTGGGTCTGTGACTTCTGGAGCCCCCATCCACTCTTGCCTGATTTGGGTTAGCTTTTGTTCTTCAGTGACTAGGAGCTCATTCAGTTGCCTCATCTGGGACACCTCCCAGATCAGTCTGGGAGATAGAAGACAAAACATTGGGAGACAGTATTAATTATATTGATTATTTTCTGCTTGGAAGGGCCTTTACAATCTAGTGCTTCTCAGAAGGCAACATTGTGTTCACACCCATCCCTATTCCTTTACATTATAAAATCTACCTTGGAAACAACTCACTACCCTATTAAATTCCTTGGTATTTCAAAGACATTTTGGTCACTGTCCTGAATCCCTTGACCCCATTTCTTTATCTGGATCCAGACTTGGCCTTTTAGTGTCTAGGATGACTGTAACTTTGATGTCCTTGATCATTACCCAGTGAGATATTATCCAAAGCCTCCTTATGAATGAACAGTACACTGTGCTAGAAGGATTGAATAGGAGCTTATTAGAGACCTCCTTTTACTGTGGTGGGCCAAGATAAACTGTTCATTTTGCCCTTTTAAAAGTGCAAACTTCTTGAGGTTAAAGTATGTTAAAATAACCTCTTAAAATTATAATAGTGGTAGAATGGTTTTTTTGGGGGTGCTAGGTTAGCAGTAATCTTGGGTTATCTGTATTAATGTATCTGAATTTATGAGATGTTTGTCATTAAAAATGTTAAACTTTTTACAGATAAATACCACAACAGTGATTTTTATGTTTTTTTATAGGCATCTTCTCAAGAGAGCAAAGCTGTTTCAGAGGCTGAATCAAGAATTTTTTGGTTAGGACTTATTACATGCCCACTGCTATGGGTGATATTTGCCTTCAGTGCACTTTTCTCCTTTAGAGTGAAATGGTTGGTGAGTGTCAAGGTAGAACACTTGAATAATCTGTTAAGATGTCTGATGGACAATCATAATAAGCAGCCATCTGTGCCCTTAACATTAGGAACTATCTTGAGTAGCCAGACTCATTGTTTTTCTCAAGTTCTGTTACCAAACTCTGCTGCTCTCTAGTCCTGGAGAGCAGAGTCTTGTTCAAAGCCCCATTTCACTGATTTTCCAGGACATTACTGTCTAGCAGAATTTTGATTGAGCGTCTTATACAGAGATTTCCATATTTATCACATTATGTTTTTGGATGTCACTTCCTGTGCTAAACTTCAGTAGACTCTAAATAAACACGTTTAGTTTGGATCTAACAGAGTGGCTTTTTCTGAAAATACTGCATGGTAATCTTGTTTCAGTTATCTATAGTGGCATAAGGAGCTCACTCTGGTAGCCCAGTGCCTAAGGCACCTGACTGCTAACTAGAAGGTTGGTGGTTGAAACCCACAAGCCACTCCGCAGAAGCACGTCTGGGCAATCTACTTCTGTAAAGTAGAAGCCTTAGAAACCCAGTGGTTTTGGTTTTGGTTTGGTATAGTGGCATAACAAATTACCCAGTTGTGAGCATTCCAGCTTGCAAAGCAGAAACTGAATTGCCTGGGTGCCTTTTACAACCTAGTCTTTGAAGTCATAGTGTCACTTCCAGAAAAAATTGTACTTTGTCATTCAAAATTGTCAAAAAGCCCATCTGCAATCAAGGGAAGGGAGTTAGACTCTACTTCTTGATAGAGGAATAACAAGGTTCTAGAAGAGACTGTGGAGGATAGACAACGGAGGGATGCCAGAGTAGCAGGCCGGAAGAGCAGGGAAGGGGATAAAAGCCTTGAGCCCCAGGCTTACAGGTGAGGAGAGACAATGCAGGGACGCCAGAGTAGCAGGCCAGAAGAGCAGGGAAGGGGATAAAAGCCTTGAGCCCCAGGCTTACAGGTGAGGAGAGACAACGCAAGGATGCCAGAGTAGCAGGCCGGAAGAGCAGGAGAAAGGGGATAAAAGCCTTGAACCCGGACAGAAGAGCAATCAGCCGAAGGGATTAGGTGAGGAGGGGAAACTCAGGCCTGCCCAGGGTAGCAGGCCGGAAGAAAAGGAGAAAGGG